GATGCCAATTGTGTTACTTCCACCTCCAAAAATAGAAAATGGCTTCTAGATTCCATTGCCTCTCACAATATTATCTCTAATTTGACAAATTTGTCTATTCACTAGGAGTATGATTGTCAAGATTAAGTTGTTCTAGGGGAAGGTACCTATTTACAAGTCACTTACATTGGCTCCATTTCGCCTCCCTACTCATGATAATAATGTTACCGTTAAGTTTCACCCTTTCATTTTCTTTGTGAAGAACCGAATGTTGGGAGCAATGCTCATGCACAGTTGTGTGAATATGGAGTCTATTCGATGGCACTATGACCTCCCTCTAGCTAAGCTCATGCAATAAGCGTTACTGAAACCTGAGTCTTTTCACAATGGCACCATGGGGCATCCTATCCCTAAATTTTATCATTGTTACTCTGTAGTTATTCTTTACTAGTTTTCTTGTGAAAGTACTCTTTTTCTTGTATTTCGTGTCAATGTAATAAATCTCATAAATTGCCATTTACTTGCAATTTTCTTACAAGCAATGGTTCGTTAGAGTTTGTGCATGCCGATGTTTGGGGTCTTTTTCCCGTTTCCTTTATTGATGACTTTTCGCTACTATGTCTTATTTGTTGATCATTTCACTAAATATTGTCACCTCTTATTCCATGAAGAACAAATCTGAGGGTAGCCCTATTTTTATTCAATTAACTACCATGCTTGAAAATCAATTTGCTTGCAAAATAAAAAATCTGTATACTGATAATGGTGCTGGATTCATCAAATTACGTCTCTATTTCTGGCACAACATGGTATTAATCACTTTGCAACATCTCTCCATACTCTCCAGCAAAATGGTACTATTGAGAGTTTTCATCGCCATACCTCTCCTTTCAGGACATGTGACTTAGCCACGACTGTTTACCTCATAAATTGCCTTTCTACCCTCCTACTCACACGTAAGAGTCTTTTTGAGGCCTTATTGGTTGAATGCCCGACTACCAAAAGTTATGTACATTTGGATGTCGATGTTAACGTGGCTAGTTCCTTACCAAACACATAAACTACAACCTAAGTTAAACCCATGTGTCTTTCTTGGGTACTACTTGACTCAAAATGTCTTTAAGTGTTTAGTTCAAAAATGGGTTGGTTATATCTCTCTAGTCAGGCAAAGAGGGAAGATTTCATGAGACTCTGCTGGGGAAACGGGTTATGTAACGCCCCAATTTTCTATAAACTTCGAAACGTTACGAAAAACTCATTTTTCTTTATTTTAAGTGCGGAACTATAAAAATAAAATTCTTTATTAAACAAATAACTGCAACATTTATAATTCTAAATTTAAAATACGAAAATTTTATCTAAACATAACATAAACTCCTAACTAATTCAAATAACACGTTTGAAATAAAATGATCTCTAAAAAAAATTTAAAAAAATTGAACGTCTACTGGCAATCCATGCATTTTTTTATTGAACATAAACGCATAAGGAAACAAAAACACTTACACTTAAAGTATCTTACCTCATTAGAAAAATTTGAAACACGTTCAAAATCTTTTCTCCTCTTTGAAAAATACGTGATTAAAATATTCGATGCATTCAAACTTTATTTCCAATACTACTCTCTCTCTTCCTTTCTCTCTCTCTCTCTCTCTTTCTTTCTTCTCCCTCTTCCTTTCTCTCTCTCTCTCTTTCTCCCATATGTATTGTACTTATTTTTGGTAGTCAATGATGAGGTTTTTGGCATTGTATTTATAGTTGAAAAAGACAATAGAATTTGGGTGAAATTGGGATGAAAGAAACGTGTACCACCAAATTGGATAAAGCTAAATTTTTTGATAAAGCAAATCATGATGTGATTTGTGTACTTGATTGTGATAAAAATATATATAATTAATACTTATCAAATCAAAAGTAGAATCATGGCCAACCACTAAAATTACAACTACAAGGTAGAATTCCTATATATCTACACGTGAAACTAGTGGCTCCAACTACACCAAATCCTAAAGCAATTTAAAATAACATATATTCTTAGAATTGCGATATCTTTGGCCTGACTTATCCAAATTAACTTTTTCTCGAGCCTAAAATTCATGATTTAATATGATCTATCCAACAAGCCCAATATTGATATATTAAATCTTGATCTGTGAAAATTTAATTATTAGGCCCAAATAAAATAGGAATTTATATAATATACAAAATAAATAAATTTTTATCTATAAAATTTTTGGGTTGCTACAGGTTGATTATTCAGGTAAATTTTGGAGAAAGGTATTTTCCTTTCCAAGCTTCATTGACCGGTGCTACAATGGCTTTGTCCCCATCTTTTTATTTATCTTGTCATCTGTAACGTCCTTTGTTACCATGATCAATTAGAGACCCCGTAACCACTAACCATCGATATCACATCTGAATTAAGTATAAAAGTAGCATTCCTTGCCCAACAGATTGGCGCAATAAGAAATACTCGGCGCATTAATTTCGTACATCTCGTACAATGAAAAGTCGACTAGAGGTGCCTTGCTTTTAATCAAATAGTGTGTGTGTATGTGTATATATATATATATATATATATATACATACACACACACTATTTGATTAAAAGCAAGGCATCCACGCATAGACGGATCTATAGTGAGGTCAACGGGTCCGTTGCCCCACTCTAAATTTGAAATCCAATATTTTCCAATAGGTTTTTCAAGATTTTATAGAAGATTTTCAAAAAAATTCCTTATAACTTTTAATTTTGCCTCCACAATTAAAATTTTGTGAAATTTTCCCCACAACTCTACTCTCCTAGCTCCGTCCCTGATTCCACATAGCTATATTAGAATTTAACAAACTAGTAATGGATAATATTCAATCCTTCTGCTCCAACAAGGAACATTATTTCTGAAACATACAAATGTAAATGCAAGAATGAAGATAAATAACTGCTTTCAAATTAAACTCTAGCTAGCAGACTAGCTTTATTTTGAGCTTGTGGAGAACATAAAGAAATTGCTCATATTTCTTCGTCAAACAACTTCTTGAAGGTGTTAATATACTCCTGCTGCAAGCACAATGAAAGAGTAAATGATCCACCTCCATCTCAATCTAGAATAATGAAGGATTTCCCATCAAAACCTATTGATCCAGGGCCCAGGTGAATCACCTATCCCCAACCAAAATTAGCTTCAAATACAGGCAGAGATGTCCAACTTGTGACTTCCATACTAGGGTTTCCATAGAAAGCTCCCAGTGCACACCTTGCTGTGTGAAAATTACGATGTACAGAAACATCTGGTAGAGCCTTATAAGTCCAAGATGTGATCTTACGTATTCATCTGTTACTTGATCAACTGCTTCACGTATTTTACTTGAAGCATAACTTAAAGGATTAGAGAGTAATTCACCAGCTGTGGTTATTGCTGCTTCTCGTAAAATGGCGTTCCCAAAAAAGCCTTGTGGTATTGGTGGCTGAATTCAATTTCTGAAGTTGACTGCTATGTGTAATTGAGTTAGTTGCTCGTCTGCATGCCTCCGTGCCTTGGATGCACATCTCCACATATGTCCAGCGACAGCTTCATACCTGTACATAGGACATGGCCACAAACTATAAGCCCCTAGTTTGAAAACCACTATATGGGTAAAATGGAGTTTTGAATTGCGATTTCTTGAAACATATGTGGTTAAAATTTTGGAAAAAATTTTGGATTTACATGTATAATATTTTATTGTTTGAATGTGTAGTTAAAAATAAGTATGTAGAAAAAAAGATTTTGAAATAACGGTTGTCAAACATTGGCTAAGTATGTAGTAAAAGCCAAGAGACTTAAGGCCCATTTGGCATAGCTTTTAAAAAGTTAAAATGAGCTTTTGAAACACAAAAGTTGCTTTTAGGCCCGTTTAACTAATTTTGTTAAAAAAAATTTGGTAGTTAAAAAAGTTTTTAGAAAAAATTGATTCAATGTGACTTCCTCTAAATGCACTTCCAGGGTGAAAAGCACTTTTAAATATTAGTTTTCAAACAAAAATTACTGTAGCTTCCTCCAAAAGCTATTTTACAAGAAGTAAAAGCAAAAGCTATGCCAAATCGACCCTTAGGCTATGTTTGAGCTTATTTTATGGAATTAGATTTAGTAATTATAATTTTTTTCAGAATGAACTGTTCCGGGTTTACATGTAAAAGTATTTTCTTGGGAGAATGCTGATTAAAAACGAGTTTGAAGAAAAATTAATTTTTGAAAATGGGGCTCAACTTAAAATCTTGATGTGTAGGGTTAGATAAGAAGTAAATTTCCCCTTCCCTTCTCATTGGATGCAATAATATATACTGTACGAAAGTGAAGAGTTCGATTTTGATACCTGCTATATGGACGAGAGGTATTTTTGTATAGTTTATCCTTGTTTGCTTTGTCCTTCAATTTATCAATTTGTTCTTTGCTTAGCTTTAGCATGGCAATTGTTGTTGGCTTCTTCCTCTCCTCCATATGGTCAGGCTGGCCTATTATTAGTGGCAGTGGTGTCAACGCTGTATGCTCAAACTTCGGTTGTTCTTCAATTTGCAAAATTTTCCGATCGAGTACTGGGAGGATACCGGTCTTCTCCCCGCGTGCAATTTTGGCCCATTCATTGATAAAATGGAAAGCAGACGTTCCATCTGCTAAAATGTGAGAAATGCCCAAGCCAAGAGAAAGTCCACCACATCTGAATTTTGTAAGCTGAGCCAAAACCAATGGTTGCTCGGATATTGGAGTATTACTATAATCCATTTTCGGAATAAGCTCTCTCATTTTTGCATTTGGAAGAAAATTCTGTTTTGCAAAATCTTCTACCGTGGATTCTGTCTCAGCTTCGACGAGAGTAGCTCCCTTGGCATTGCAATGAAGTTGCAGGCGGCCTCCCCCAAATCCACTCTCATGGAGGCCCCCGGCTAATGGGTAGAAGATTACAAGCGCTTTGCTCAACGAGTCTTTCAGAATTTGGATTGCATCTGAATAGTGAAAATCTGCGCTTTGCTCAACGAGTCTTTCAGAATTTGGATTGCATCTGAATAGTGAAAATCTGTATTTGGACCATAAAAGTGGACAGTGGGTGCATGAGTAACGACGTTAATTTGGTCAAGTTCTGATAGTTACATGTGTTGCTTCTAGAGTTTGAATTCACTCCTTCGAAAACAATCCAACAGAGTTACCTGAATGCAAGAATTGATCAACAGGATCCAAAATTATAATTCGAGCCCACCAAATTCACGATATTTCCTTAAAACGAATTTGCTGCCTTCAATGGTGCTAAAGGCGTCCAGCAATCATTTCCCAAGATAGAACGAATTTTCGTCTCCTACGGAAGCTTCACTGCAGTCTGTAGGAGTTTCAACGAACTCAACGAAGTGCGTTTTACTTCGAGACAATATCGGAACGAGAGAGAGGGAAATGAGATTCAAAGCACAGAAAGTTTGCAATGAAAATGGTGTAAATTTTCTGTTAGAAAGGTTGGCTATTTATAGACTTGTTCGTGGCCATTCGAACAGTCATCACCTTTTAGACAAACTTCAAAAATTCGAACAGACATACTGTTCTTAAAAGTCGTGTTTGTTAAGTCGGTTAACAGTCGACTGTTTGGTCGGTAAACAGTCGACTGTTTGGTCGGTAAATAGTCGAAACAGTCGACTGTTAAAAGAAAATAAAACACCAGGAATAAGCCAAAATTTAAATTTCATTTTGTACCCAAGAATTTGATTATTTACAATTTGGCCCAAAATTTTAAATAAATTTTGTCCAAAAAGTTAATATAGTGTAAAGGTCCACCCGGACCCGCACCCGCACCGAATCGGACCAGACTCGGACTCGGGCTCGGGCTCGAGCACGTGCTCGTGCCGTGCCGTGCCGTGTCGAGCCGAGCCGACTGGTAGGACGAACGGCGACGGCGGCGCGCGCGTGTGGGTTTATGACCGAACCCAATAGGATATAGGTCTTCCCTCTTCCAAAAACTATTGGTACCCCTTGGGGCCTAAACCCAATTCCAAACTTCCACCTTATAAACCACACTAAAGTTTCCTAACTTTCCTATGTGGGATAAGTGTTTGGCAAATCAAATTCTTCCATAATCCTTAGTTTATGTGGGTTACTTTAATACTTAATATTTCATTCAATTTTAAATGGTTTTCGATAAATAATATATCACGTTAATCATCTCATGGAGTAGAACGTGAATATGCTAGGTCCCGTATTATTTAAAAGTTGGGTCCCATTGAAATTTGGGCTCAAAGTTGACCCATTAAACCATTTTTTCCAACAATCCCCCACATGAATGAAATATGTTGGCCTTTATTCCAAACGATAACATCTGATATGTTTTTCAAAGGAAAAATTGAAGAAGACTGCATCGGGATAAGTAGTCAATGACTTTGAACTTTCCCTAGTAAAATCTATCGGAATTCCTTAGCCAATCAGTAGCAAGTTGCTTTGAACAGTTAGCCGTTTATAGAATCCTAGACAATAGAAGTCACACAGTTTTTCTTCGAACACAGTTAGTTCTCACGTTTGTGTCCATTTTGGCCTTGGACACCTCCTGGTTCATGAGTGGTTTTTAGAGAATTCATGTTCACCTAATTCTCTTAGAAGCGGCCCCTTCTCACTCACATAGGTGATTTCCATAAAGAGTATTATGCTATACTCCACTTGAACAAATCAAGATATAGAAATCATTAAAAGTGTATCTTAACCTATTTCGCGGCAGCTGGGCACTGGCTCATCATAGGAATGGGTAGAAGTAAAATCTTCCCAGTGTATACTAAGTTTTTCACAGTTCAGTTGTCCCATTGAACCTAGATCTTGGGATCTCCAGTCAACTAGATTGGGTTGCCACCATGAAAACTTTTGATTATTTTATTAGTTTTAATCCCATCCCCTTCGATGAACTTTCGACTTGCTCTCTTGTTAAACTTTTAGTTAGCGGATCCGTAATATTCTCTTTTGATTTCACATACTCTATAGAGATAATGCCTGTAGAGAGCAATTGTCTAATAGTATTGTGTCTACGACGTATATGTCGAGATTTACCGTTGTACATTGCATTTTGTGCTCTTCTATTTGCTGATTGACTATCGCAATGGATACATATAGCAGGCACATGTTTTATCCAACATGGAATATCTTCTAGAAAGTTTCGTAGCCATTCGGCTTCTTCTCCAGCTTTGTCTAATGCAATGAATTCAGATTCCATTGTTGATCTAGCTATACATGTCTGTTTTGAATATTTCCATGATATGGCAGCACCTCCAAGTGTAAAGACATATCCACTTGTTGATTTGGAGTCTTTAGTATCTGATATCCAATTTCCATCATAGTATCCTTCAAGTACTGCTGGATATCTCGAATAGTGCAATCCAAAATTTTGGGTATGTTTTAAATACCCTAAAACTCTAACAATAGCCTTCCAATGATCAGTGCTTGGATTACTTGTATATCGACTTAGCCTACTAATTGAATAGGCAATATCAGGTCGAGTGCGGTTTATGACATACATTAAACTGCCAATGATACGAGAGTATTCCAATTGAGACTTACTGTCACTAGTATTGGAAACAAGATGCATACTAACATCCATAGGTGTTTTCATAGGAATAATATTATATTTCTTGAATTTATCAATAATCTTCTCAATGTAGTGTGATTGAGACAATATGAGACCATTAGATGTTCTAGAAATTTTAATTCCTAATATAACATCGGCCACACCTAAATCCTTCATTTCAAATTTACTTGTTAACATCCTTTTTGTAGTTTGAATTATGGTATCATTGTTACCCATAATCAACATGTCATCTACATATAAACATATCATGACATATCCATTTGGAGTGTTCCTGACATAAACACATTTGTCACACTCGTTAATTTTGAAATCATTTGACATCATAACTATGTCAAAATTTTCATGCCATTTCTTAAGAGCTTGCTTTAATCCATATAATGATTTAACAAGTCGACATAATTTCTTTCTTGTCCTGAGGCCACAAATCCTTCAGGTTGCTCCATATAAATTTCTTCATCCAATTCCCCATTCAAAAATGCCGTTTTAACGTCCATTTGATGTATATCCAAACCATTCAATGCTGCTATTGCAATAAGCATACGTATGGATGTGATTCTTATCACAGGAGAATAGGTATCAAAATAATCAAGACCGTCTTTTTGCTTATAGCCTTTAGTGACAAGTCTTGCTTTATATTTGTCAATTGATCCATCTGTTTTCATTTTCCTTTTGAAAATCCATTTACATCCCAAAAGCTTATTACCGGGAGGGAGATCTACTAATTCTCAAGTATGATTTTGTAGTATGGATTCAATTTCACTATGAACAGCTTCTTTCCAAAATGAAGCTTCGGTTGATGACATAGCCTCCTTAAAACTCTGAGGTTCATTTTCTAACAGATATGTTAGAAAATCAGGCCCAAAGGAGATTGACGTCTTAGCCCTCTTGCTTCGTCTAGGTTGTTCATTTATAGATTCTTGATCTATAGTCTCTTCGTTTTCACGAGATCTCTTTTGTGAATTTGATTCACCTTGCATGTTATGAGGAAAAGTATTTTCGAAAAATGTAGCATCCCTTGATTCAATAATTGTATTAACATGCATATCAGGTATTTCAGACTTATATACCATAAATCTGTACGCATTACTATGGTAGGCATAACCAATGAATACAAAATCAATGGTTTTAGGTCCTATCTTAACCCTTTTAGGTTTAGGAACTACTACCTTAGCCAAACATCCCCATACCTTCAAGTATTTATAATTAGGTTTGTGACCTTTCCATACTTCATAAGGTATTTTTTGCGTTTTTCGATGTGGTAGTTTGTTAAGAATATGGTTGGCAGAAAGCAAAGCTTCCCCCCACAAGTTCTGCGGTAATCCAGAACTTATTAACATAGCATTCATCATCTCCTTCAATGTTCGATTCTTGCGTTCAGCAATACCATTAGATTGAGGAGAATAAGGCGCGGTAGTTTGATGAATAATTCCGTGTTCTGAACAGAATTTCTCAAATGGTGAATCATATTCACCACCTCTATCACTTCTTATGGCCTTAATCTTTTTGCTAAGTTGATTTTCAACTTCTAACTTGTAGTGTTTAAACACTTCAATTGCTTCGTCTTTGCTTTTGAGCAAATACACATAAGAATATCGAGTACAATCATCGATAAAAGTGATAAAGTACTTATTACCTTCTCTAGTTTGAACAAATTTTAAATCACATATATCGGTGTGAATTAAATCTAGGGGTTCGGTACTTCTTTCAACAGAACGAAAGGATAGATGTGACATTTTGGCTTCTACACATATATCGCATTTGTGATTAGGATTTAAATCACACTTTGGTAATAAATCTAATTTTATTAGTCTACGCAAAGTGTTATAACTTGTATGTCCTAATCGTTCATGCCAAATGTTAAATGACTCAAACAAGTAAGAAGAAGATATATTCTTATTCATAATTGGAGGTACAACAGTCATTACATTCAATTTAAAGAGCCCTTCATTCAGGTAGCCTTTTCCTACAAACATTTCATTCTTTGATAGTACAAATTTGTCCGAAACAAATACTAGTTTAAACCCATTCTTACTTAGTAGAGAACCAGATACCAAGTTTTTTCTAACATCGGGCACATGAAGAACATCATTCAGAGTGAGCTCTTTTCCACTTGTCATTTTCAGCACATCTTCCCATGTCCTTCTATCTTAGAAGATGACGAGTTTCTCATGTAGAGATGTTCATCATGATCCATTGCTTTGTAGGTAGAGAACATCCC